CGTTACACCTGATCCTTCGATATAATTGGCTAAAAATCACGTACCGGAAAAAATCTTGTGGGTGAGCTACTATTAATATCGATTGGTGGTAACGCTGGATTTGTTGTTTGTATTAGTGCCTCGCAGGTTCGACTTACACAGATAATTTTTTGATCTACTACTATCAAAATATAGAAAATGATAACAGAATTCGAACTTTCAAAATACATACATATGTTAATTGATTATTTTAGTTGCGCCAGTCATGTGATTAGCCAATTAATTTAAACGTCAGTTGGCAGTCTAGAATAACTTGTTGGATCATATTTGTAATAAAAATATTTTGAATCGTTGGTTGTTAGCAGAAACGAAGTTTCCGCCGGTGCATATAGTTGGCGGTAGAATTACTGAATTACGGTATTACCATGTGGTAGAATTAATTACATAGTACGTATCTAATTGCCATAAATATTATATGCTGTAATATTGTAATGCATTACGGCATTACAGCTCAAAAAAATTACGTCAAATTACCAAATCAATTCTACCACCAACTATACCTGTGCACAGGAAAATTCATATCGACCAAGTGTCCATATACTTTTTCGTGCAGATACTAAAACACCTTTTTTATAGTACAATTACGGCAAAAAATGGTTTCAAATTAGAACTAATCACTATGAACATACGGTTGAATAGATTACATACAATAAACTAAGAAATATCGCAAAGACAACTGGTCGAGAGATGTAAAAATTAATGATATTTATACCTCAAATTTTATCTTCGTATCCATGTAAAGTAAACTTTAAGCTAGGCAACATTCCTGATGAATCAGCAGTACTGATCTTGGTGGAGTTTTTTTTTTTTTAAAAAAAAAAACTATTCCATGATAGGGTTCTAAAAACGGACCCAATTCTAATTTTTTTTTCTTCGCCATAGTAGTATAGGGGTTTAGAGCCCTTTTTTAGAACCCGCCACGAAGTGATCCAGAATTAGATTTTAGAAATCCGGTTATTGCAGGGTCATAGAAAAGCATTCGTGTGACTGGTTAATTTTCTGTAGATCCAACAGGTTATACTTACTGATAATAAATTTTTTGTTATTGTTACATTATATTTTAAATGTGATTTTCTCAAAATCGAAGAATTGAAAAAACCATAAGTCGCGCTTCAGTTGCCAATATAAAAATTTTAATATTAACAACTTTTCCAAAAAACAAAAAAAGTTTGGAATTGTTTTTAAGTAAGTTAGAAAAGCTTACATTCTCAACTAAATCTCTATGAAATGATGATAAATGATATTTTTTTGTTTTTAGCACTAGGGAACATTTATAATGTCAAAAGTAATTGTTATATTAAGTTTGTTATTCAAACAAATACTGTATTAAGTGGAATGTGATTTATTAATTAATTGTTCAAACTAATCCTAACTAAATCAGCCGGTTGAGGATAATTTAGAAAAAGTTCAAATTTCTGGTGAGATAGAATCAAATTCTGAACAAGCCATCCCACAGCACCTTCGGAAACTTCGTGGTGGTTTTGGTAGAGCTGATTGTTCTAATACAGCTGTTATTTGTGGGTTTGGTTGTTGTTTAATTATTATTATATTAGTCATTATTTTACCATTATATTTTACTGGAAAACTTGGTGCTGCATACGAAAAATATAGTCCAGGATGAAGAAGACATTATATAGCGTTATTAATTGAAGCTTCAATCAAGTTCATTAAAAGTTAAATTCCTATAAATCAACATTAGATAATTGAAAATTTTTATTTAAATATTTGATTAAAATGAACTATTGATACTAAGTTATGCGAATAATGATTAGAAAACATTGAAATAGGAATTTATTAGAAGGCAAATGTCTTCCAATGGGTAATATGATCATGGCGCAAAAATTTGGCTCGTAATACTATCCAATCTGGTTATACAATCGATTTTAACCAGAGTCCTCTGATTTTTCTAGCATCTAAATAGCACAAGCAATATCACGAAAACAATCAAACTAACTCGGTAAAATTTTTATATTTTGATTCTATAGACATGTAGAATTAAAATAATCCAATTTTGGTTGGATTTGAATATGTGGCTGTCACAATATCGCTAGTGCTACTTTAGCTGCTAGAAAAATCCGAGGACGCTGATTGTAACATATCTGATACGAAAGTTAGCTTTTGCCATTAAGTTTTAGCCCCCAAAAAAGCTTTATATGTAAAGTGCTGTGGTTTACGCTGTATTTATGCAAACATTAATGTAAGTTAAAATTGCAATAACACGTATAGATAGATGGTTTCGCTATTGTAATGGGTTAATTTTATGATCTTAACTTTTTTTTGCGTAATTGATCTTCTAACTAAATGGGTATCGTGATTGTTAAAATTTCCCGCATAAGGCCGTGTGCACCTCCTATGTCATAGTGTAGGTTACAAATTTATAAGTGAAACATTTATTTTAATAAATGGGAAACCTAGTTTCTATTATAAGCATGACGTTCTTTCATTAATTTATTACCATCATTTAAGAATTACTATGCCTTATAGCAATCTTGTATCATTCATTCCACATACGGTATATTACCGATTAGAAGTAACCCCCAGATTTTGGAGCCAAAATTTGACTACAGTTATTATGTTTCTACTAATAAAATTGTACCCCAATAAAAGCATCCACTTCATTTTGGCTCGAATTTTTTTTTTAACATTTTGGTTGCTTCTATTCGGCAACTTCCAATAGCAGTTGGTAATACATTCATTATGCGTCGCTCTCCCATTCAACCATTACATTACCCGTTTTTTAATGAGCATACTGATTTAAGATAGGAGATATTATGCAATCGTAAATATCGGATAAAATAATAAAACATATTAAATACAATATTGAAGGATATAATATAATAGTAAATTTGAGTAATGTTCATTTATATACACTGAGCCACTGAATGTGATTAAATAACAAATATGGTTAACATAATTGCCAATTTTAAATAACAGATAGTTGAAGAATTTATTATGCAAACCATGAACTGAATATTAAACAGAAAATGATTGTTAATCTTAGTTAGCTATATACGTACAGCTAAACTTCCCAAAACTGATATTCATAGTGGACACGTTTTGTATCATTATTGAAAGGTTATCAAATTTGAAAATATAATACACACAAGGTTGTATTAATATTAGCAAGTTATCAGATTTGTAACATAATTTACTGTACTATGTATTAGATTTGTATAACGGAAACAGGCTTGGTAGTAAAACTCTTTCTTATACATCATTAAAATAATTAAAAATAAAAATAAAAAATAAAAAACATAATATAAAGGTTAATAGTAAATATAAATAAAGTCAGTTCTAAGCTAGCATGCATATTATGCACAATAGGAAGACAATAAAAAGACGAAACAGAATAAATAAAATAAGATAAAGACAACATAAAACAATAATGAGAAGAAAACTTTTCTAAACTACTAAGAAGGTTTTTTTTTTTACATTACCTTCTAAAAAAAATTCTAAAAATGCAATTATATATAATACAACAGTAATTAGAAAAACAACTTTCAGGTGCTAAATAATTTGACTTTCAACTAGTAATAAAAATACAAGTATATTATTATTATTGTTCTACTTTTTAGAACAAAAAATAGACAATTTAATTTATTTTTAACAAATGTTAAAATGATATTATTAAGTTATAATAGTAAATAGCTATATACAAAAATAATGACAATACAATAATTACTAAAAATAATAATATATATACTTAACTAAATTTAGACAATACTAAATTTTTTTTTTTTTTTTTTTTTTTTTTTTTAAGGTGAGGTTTTGCCTTTATCTTTATTATAATTTGTATTAAGAATCCACAAGGGGTTTCTTTGACCAAAGGCCAAGTTTACAAATTGTTTACAAGAATAAAACTCAGACTATAGATGTACTAAGACTACCTAGTTTAATCTAATTTATCTGCAACCTAAACCTACTAGAGTGATTAAATCTCACTTAGGTTTTGTTAGTTAAAGTATTGCTAATTTGATAGTTAATTATATTGTTAGTTGAGGTGTTATATTTGATCCATTCAGATATCCAAATAGATGTTTTCTTTTCTGGCATTTCTGTCAGTGGGCAAATATTGTGTTTATCTTCTATATGTTGTTGGTCTGCTGAATCACAAATATAGTTGTAAGTATATAGTGATCTTGGATAGTGTGTGCTTCTTGTGTTGTTGAAATTATTACATGTATTTGCTTGTACATATAAAGGTCAAATTAGTATATTGTGTTGATATTTCCAATTTGCTAGTTTTGTGTAATATGGTTTCCATATTTGGTTGTATATCTCATCTGATAGTTTCGTTAAAAATTTGGTAGTAATATTAGTTGCAATTTGGTTAGAGTCTGTATATTCTCAGATTGTTTGAATGAGTAGCTGAGAAACATATCCTTGTAAAGTTGTGTAGATATTTGTGCTATTTGAAGTATAGTTATTAGGAGTTAAACATTGGTAACTGGACAGTTTGCTATGTAGTTCTTGTAGTTCTGTAGTTGTAATTTCTAATCTGCTAGAATTGAATAATTGTTGTATAGTATTGTTAATAGTATGACTTAGATTTGATGTGTTAGAACAATTTAACCAGTGTCATAGTCCTTCATGTGTATTACAAGAAATGCAGTTATTGTTAATAAATATTAATGGATATAATGAGTGAAGATGTGATAGTGTTGGTAGTATATTTAGCATTATTTTGATTTTAAAGGCTTTGGTATAACAAAGTTTAAAGTTTGTATATAGTGATGATCTTTTGTTATTGTTGTTGAGATAAGACATATTGCATTCCAGTTAATTTGTGTAGCTATCAGTATAATGTTTTTTATGCGATATTGTGATGACCACATTGCAATGTTTTGGGTATTGCAAATGTTTTTGATAAATCTTCTAGTTGGTTATTCAAATGCGAGGTTATTGTATTGTAAATAGTATGATAAGTTGTATATGTTGTTATGTATGAATTTTAGTATATGTAGATGATTTCAGTTTTTTGTTAGTTCATCTGCTATGTTAATGAAGATGTTGTTGCTATGTGCAACTACTTTTTGGAAATTGACTTTGATTTGGTAATTTTTTGTTAGATTTAGTAAGGTATGCCATATTGGCCAATAGTTGTAGGAATATCATTTGTTTGGTGTTGGTAGTAATTTCAAGAGTTTGTTGTACTTAGATATTATTAATTGGGAGTCTGTGAATATTGTAACCTGACTAGATTTAGGACAGATGCTAATTGCTGATAAAATAGCGATAAGTTCAGCTTTGTATGAGGAAGGTCAAAGCTTAATTTCTGCTGAATAGCTTTGTATAGTTGTGTCATTTTAAACTTGGACCCAGCCAATTCCTATTTTACATTGTTCAGATGTAATATGTGTTACTGATCCATCAGTATAAAAAATTAGTTGTGAGTAATTAGTATTTTGTTGTGTAATTTGTTGCAATGTTTGTGTAGAATAGTTGTCATTAAATAATTCAAGTAATGGGTTATTCTGAATTGTAATTGTAGGAGGTGTTGGTATTATAATAAGATGTCTTAATGCAATTGAGTAAAGTAGACCAGTAGATTAGAATGTAGGTTAAGTTTTTTTGATGAGTTTGTATAGACAGTTCTTTCCAAAAATTTGGTTGCAAGGCTAGCTGTAATATTGAATGTACATTTATTTTGTATATGTCCAGAGTTCAAGGAGCATCCTGTACATTGTTTGCAGATGTAGTCTGGATGAGGATATAATTCTGTTTGTGAAGTGTCAAATTGGATTGTTTAGTATATAATAGAGATAAAGGTATCTAATTGATTATATCTCTGGCTTTTTCAATAATTATATCAGTTTGGTTGTATGTTATTAGCCAGGGTTTTGGTTTGATTTTGTAATGTTCAGTTGTAAAGAATAATATATTTATATTTAATAATTGTAAAAGTTGAAGGTTAATTTTTCTTGTTTGTTGGAAGATAAGTAATTTGTTTTCTAAGGTTAGAAACTATAATGGTTTGTGACCTTTAGAAATTTGTTGAATTTGTAGGGAAATATGTTGCCAGTTTAGTAGTACTGAGTTATCACTTGAGGTTAATTGTTCTAGATACATAATTTGTTTTATATGCAATTGTTTTTTAAATTGGAGATATAATTTGTATAAATGTAATAGTTTTTCAATAGGTGTATATGAATGTGAAAGTGTGAAGGGTCTAAAGTTGCTAGAGTACATCTGAATGATTAGTTGAAGGTTATTAAGTAATTGTATAATTTTAAAAGGTAGTGGTATGTTTGTTTGGTCCATCTATTATTGGGTTGTTATAATATAGGATATTTGTTATTGATCATAAATTATTTTGTAATTGTTGAAGTCTAATGTGGGTACTTGTGTCTATAAGGTTAGGGTCATTAATACAAAGTAAAAAGTTTGAGATATGGTGTTGGATTTGTATATCCCAGATATTTTTGATATCATATATATTGTGGTTTAATAATATACTATAGTGTAGTTGTAGGTAATTAAGATTTATGCTTAGCAGTAATAATGTATTGTAATAGGATAGAGTTGCATGTTGTGCATGGTAGGACTATGTTATATATACAGTATTCTAGAGTAGAGATAATGACTGTATTAATGATATATGCTGCTTGTTTATCAGTTATA